CATTCGCAACAACAGCTTTGACGATGTTGTTCCCCCTTCCGGTGTCAACATCGTCGGCGGAAAATGGATCTTCCGAGTCAAACAACTCCCAGGCGAAGCTCCACTGTTCAAGGCACGATACGTGGCGAAGGGTTTCACCCAGAAAGAGTATCTCGACTTCTTCGAAACCTTCTTGCCCACGGCCAAGCTCCCGACTGTGCGCGCTCTTCTTGATATAGCTGCTCGCGGCAACTTCGAGATCAAGTCCATGGATGCCTCTTCCGCCTTTCTCCAAGGCCAGCTCAAGGAGGATGTTCACATGGAACGCCCACCGGGGTTTCCTGGCACTTACCCTGCCAACACAGTGTGGAAGCTGAAGCGCCCAGTGTATGGCCTCAAGCAGGCTCCTCGTGAGTGGCACAACAAGGTGAAGGAAGTCCTCCTCGCACTTGACTTCCATCCCTCTGCCTCAGATTCCAGTCTCTTTGTTCGTCACTCCTCCGAGCCCTTCTACATCCTCGTCTACGTCGACGACTTCATTCTAGCCGCCAGAGATCCAGCCGACATGGCAGCTGTCCAGTCTGCTCTCAGCTCCGCCCTTCTCATGAAGGATCTTGGTGACCTCAAGAACTACCTAGGGATTGAGATCACTCGTAACCGCCAGGCTTGCACGATCACGCTCTCCCAGGAGTCCTACATCGACAACCTTCTCAAGCGGTTCGACATGGACTCCAGTAACTCTGTCTCCACTCCACTCCCACTACAGCATCAGCTCACGGCCCCTCCAGTTCCTTCTCCTGACGCCTGCAAGGACCCGTACCCTGAGCTAGTCGGTTCACTCATGTATGCCATGATGTGCACTCGACCAGACTTGGCTTACCCGGTTAGTGTCCTCTCTCGGTACGTCTCCCCCGGACGCTACACTGCCTCGCATTGGTCTGCAGCCAAAAGGGTCCTCAGCTATTTATATGCCACCAAGTCTCACATCCTCACTCTTGGTGGTACCTCTCCAGTCAAGCTCGAGGGATACACAGACTCCTCATGGGCCGATGACCAGACTGACAGACACTCCTCCCAAGGGTACTGCTTCACCCTTGGTAGCGGAGTCATCAGCTGGCGCTCCACTCGGTCCTCTGCAGTCTCCCTATCGTCCTACGAGGCCGAGCTCTACGCGGGCACAATGGCTGCTCAAGAGGCACGCTGGCTCTCCTTTCTCCTCGCTGAGTTAGGCTACCCCCAGCAGTCGCCCACCCTGTGGTGTGACAACCAGAGTGCCATTCACCTCACCAAGGATCCTGTGTTCCACTCTCGCACCAAGCACATCGAACTTCGTCATTTCTTCATCCGAGATCTTGTTCAGAGTGACCAGCTGACGGTACGGTACATCGCCTCAGATTGCAACCTCGCCGACCTCTTTACCAAGGCTCTCGGCAAGGCTGACCACCATCGCCTTCTCCGTTCCATGGGGCTATGTGCTCCTTGATCGGGTTTGCAGTCTATGGGGGTGTGTTAGAAATAGACTGCAAATACTACTTTTGTATTTGTACTTTTATATCCTAGTTTAGGTTATGAATGTTCTAGTGGGTTGGGGTGTACTCACAAATCCCAACCTCACCCAATTGTGATCCCCCCAATCTCCAATTACCCAATTGGAGATTCAGGAGATCCCAATGGGGATTCCCTCCAATTCCCCCTTCATCCATTCACTCTCACCTTGCCATGTACTTATAGAGCCTTGGGCTCCTTACCTAATAAATCATTTCAACTCTATTTCTTACATAGGGGTCACCCTGCAGAATCCGAGTTTGCCCGGGATCCAACTCGTCAAGGCTGGGTAACCCTTAAACTTTTGACTGTTTTTGCAGGCCAGAGTTTCGACCAGCTCAAAATGTGCCACTCGTGACAATGACAGGGGGAGCCATTTTTTCTAGTGGTGCGAACTTTTACATTAGATTTTACAGGGTGAGTCTATCCCCTACTCGAAAATCGGCCGTGGGATGATTTTGGGTTGCCTGTCCATGGACGGGTATCGATATTCTGAATGCGTCAAAAGCAGGGCTAGGTCTAAATTTCATCATGTTTCCTTGATAAGCAGTGTAATTACCCTGACTTCCTGAGGCCTGGTGCCATGGCGGTATAGGAGCTCCGCTGAATGACTTTCGTGCTCACAGACTTAGATGAGCAGCCTAGCTCTGCCCCGGTCTTGTATGTTGACAACATGGCCATGATCCTCGTGTGTCAGGAGCCTTGACTGGAGGGCAGAGCGAAGCACATCCACATGCTATACTTCCTCTTGCGCGAGCTACAGCAGCGCCGCCAGACCCGCGTAGTATACTTGGCCTCCGGTGCCAATACAACTGTTATCTTTGCTAAGGCGCTTACGCCTAAACATCATCAGCGGTTTTGTTTACGGCTTGGTTGGTTCCAGTAGCTCCACTCTTGCTATGACCTTGATTGTGAACTACTCCTTTTTTTATATATATTCTCTTGACTGGCCTTGTTGCTTCTGTTCTAGTGGCCGAACTAGTAGTGTCGCCTTAGTTTGTTCTTGTCTAGTTTGTGCTCTTTTACCTGGTCTTATGACCTTTGCCTCAGAGGTTGGACTAGTAGTGCCACCCTGAGCTGCGTGTCTTTTGCCAGGCACTGCCCCTTGTCTAGCCTAGGGGGTGTGTCAAACATATATGCATATCTTATAATAGGCTAGCTAGGTGCATGCTCTTAGAGGGTACAACACACAAGTAAAAACTCACCCTGTACTCTCTGCTCTAGTCAATTCGTTACTCTGAGATCTCAAGCCAACGTCTTTGATATCCGACACTTGATCATTGCGCAGTTCCTCCTCGCGTGCAAATCTTTCCTATGGTGACGTGTCTGGCAGTCCCATAAAAAGCAGCTTCGCTCAGCTTCGCGCGTCAAGTTCGCCAAGCGCTTTCGTTTTCTAACCTTCGCCGAAAACCATACTCCCCACCTGCACCTGGACCTTCAATCCTCCTGGTTACTGAATAACTCCCTCCCCCCCCCCCCAGGCTGCTCCGCCGTGCCTCTGCCCTTTTGCTATAGTGCTGACCATTTGGCTCCTCGCGGGATGCTGTCCGTTTGATCGGAAGGAAGACGTGTAGTTATGTGCTCCTTTTCGGATGCTGGTTTTCTTAACCATTTCCTTTGTCTGCGCTGTATGCTTGTAACGGTTAATGACCTTAATGTAACCTTAACCTGGATTAGAGATCTGACCAATCGATGGCCCAAAATCCATTCGCGTTTTCACCGTTTCAAACGTGTGTGTATCTGATTGGCATTTTGGGTCCACTAATCTGGCTTCAGTTTACGAGAACTGAATTCTGGCTTTTCCAGAGCTCTCTGAGCCCATCCCAAGCTTTCAAACCCACTGCATTTAGACAATTTATGATATTGGCTTTAATAATTCAAATTTGTGTTTACAACTAGGAAAAATCTCCATTCATACACTTGACACATAAGGTCGCTGTTTTTGTAGAAGCACGAGGTCCTGAAGGTGTTAATTTCCTATCTGTATCCCATGGAGAGTTAGCTCTTATGAAAGATGCCATCTATTTCATGTTTCAACATTTTCTAATCCATAGGAAGAAATCGCTTAGGAATTTCCGTTTAGTACAAGTGTTTGATCATGATGTACGCCCGATGACTGTTGAGGGCATGAGCGGCTCGGGTTGTAACCGTGCTTTTTGGAGGAAATGACGCGCTTCCGGAAAGTCGCGTTTTCAATTCCCGTTGTCACGGGCAGTTACCTGAACCCAGCCGAGCGCGTTTCCGACTCTGGGGTCAGGAGTCAAATTTTGACGTCTCGCCAGCTGAGTTTCTTGTCCTTTGCGTAGGAACAAAATTGATTGGGATTGCAAAACTTGAATGTTGATTTTCTTTTGACTCGTGCCATATCGGCGCAGATTTGATTGCCACAAACTGCGGGCTATATATACAGACAGTTGTTTCGGGCAGAGGTCAAAACAAACTTACCCATAGGGCCCCGGCATGTCATTCGGGACGATATTAACCCTAAACTCGCGATAGGGTTGATGCCATCCCGAATTGCGTTAAGGGACCCTACGGATTTTAGTTTTTTTTGCCACCTAACTGCCCGGATTGTGTCGTTATTGGCGATTTCGTTTGATAGTGCTAAGATGCGTCCAAAACCCGTAGCACGCGAGTACTGTGCACCTGCGGCCAAAACGTAATTGTTGCATATGGAAACATCGGGCAAGCCAAAAATCGAAACTGCATGGTACAACCAACGTGAAAACCGTATCCGTCACAAAGCAACTGACAGCGGGAATCGAAAACGCGCTTGGGTATGTTCAGGTAACATCTCAGAATTGGAAATTGAAAACGCGTTTTGCTAGAAGCGCGTCATTCCCTCGTGCTTTTTGGCTAGGGTTCTGACAGATGGAGTCGCGCCATAAGGGCGTGTCCAGCGCGTACGTTTAGCGTACAGCAGGGGGTTCAGTAGACCCGAAATACAGTGAACAGTGATTTTCGACCCTTATGCGGACGACACAATTCTTGATACAACAACAAAAACGCGCGGTGTAGCACCTGTACCCTTGCGCGACAATTAAAAATGGGCGAAAAGTCACGAATTAACGTCTGGTCGTCGCCCCGCGTCTGCAGTGACTCGTAACCACATAATCATTTCGTCTGCGCGACCAGTTGGACCATTGGCCGACGAAGCCACGTGTCCACCCAGGAGCTACTCGCGCAGTACACCAGGGTCCTGCGTTTCGGGGACACAGGAGGTCGTATTCACACTCGACGCTACCATTTTGTGGCGTTTGCGTAGTACGTGCCTAACTCTTCCAAAGCCCGAAACGTACGCGCTGGACACGCCCTAAGGACAACCCCGAGGGTGGCCCAACGGCTCTCCGTTTCAACATCCATTCCAGCCGCTTCAGCGACATGAGCATCCACCATGACCCACGCAAGCAAGGCCAGCTGCTGACGACCTCGAGGAGGCAGGAAGTTCAGCGAGTCAGTAAACACAGCTTGGGTGTTGTTGTAGGAAGGCTTTTCTTGCTTCCGACACTGAAGGATGTGTCTCACCGTCATGTGCTTCACTGGCTCGTATTGAGCTTAGGTATTATAAGCAGTGATGTAAATATCTCCTGGCCATGATGAAACACCATAACTGACATATGCGAGTGTTTTGCAGATCCGCGGCGAGGAATTGATTGGATTTTGGATATTTGTCATCTCCCACGAAGATTTTTAGACATCTGTTCTTGAGGCCGTCTTGAATCAGGACTCTTAGGTATCAGTCACTAAGTGGAATCCTGCTAGGAGCAGGTTACTCGCCATCATGCCGGACAGCAGTGGGAATGAGACATGTGCTAGCTCGTGTTACATGAAAGCCACGTCAGATGGCGTCTGGACCGGCGAAAAACCCATTGATTACGCCCTGCCGTTGCTAATCATCCAGCTATGCTTGATTGTCATATTTTCTCGTGCCTTCGCCATCATTCTGAAGCCCCTGCGACAACCACGCGTCATCGCAGAAATGCTGGTAAACGCATCCATTCCGAAAGGGATCAAATCAGTTCTTACGTTCCTTCACCTGCTTTCCTCCCTTTAACGTTTAACGCTGACATTAATAGGTATAGATGATTTCTATCTTCCTCTGTCCGTCCCTTCCAGGGAGGTATCGTCCTCGGCAGTTCGTGCATGGGTTACATCCCTGGATTTACAGAAGCCATATTTCCTAAGGACAGTATCACGGTTCTGACGACGATTGCCAACATCGGTCTGCTCTACTTCCTCTTCACCGTCGGCCTCGAGCTCGACATGCGCTCCATTGCCAAGACCGGCCGGGCTGCCATGCTCATAGCAGCCGTTGGGATTTGCCTGCCTTTTGCTCTCGGCATCGGCACGTCCTTCGCCCTCCGCCAAGTGCTCCAAGTCGACTCCTCGTTCGGCCCATTCGTCATCTTCATGGGCGTCGCCATGTCCATCACCGCCTTCCCCGTTCTTGCCCGTATCCTTGCTGAGCGCAAGCTTCTCACTACTGACGTTGGACAGATGGCCATGTCTGCTGCTGCTGTTAATGATGTTGCTGCCTGGATTCTCCTCGCTCTCGCCGTCGCGCTTTCAACTCCTGGCTCGAGCGCGACTGTGGCGCTGTGGATTCTGCTGTGCGGAGTGGCGTTTGTGGTGGTGATGTTTGTGGCAGTGCGGCCCGTCATGGCGTGGATCGCTCGCCGTGTGACTCCGGGCGAGCCGGTGCCGGAGTGGATAGTGGGCGTGGTGCTGGTGGGCGTGCTGCTGTGCGGGTTTGTGACGGACACCATCGGCATCCACGGCATCTTCGGCGCCTTCATCTTCGGCCTCGTGCTGCCCAAGGACGGCCCGCTGCCCTCGCTGATCCTCGAGAAGATCGAGGATTTCACCTCCATCATCCTCCTCCCGCTCTACTTCGCCTCCAGTGGCCTCGCCGTCAAGTTCCAGTCCATCTCGGGTGCGCCAGCTGTCGGCATGATCTTCCTCGTCATTGGTACTGCATGCATCGGCAAGATTGGCGGAAGCATGGGATCCGCAATGCTCGCAGGCTTGCCGCTGCGCAAGTCGCTGGTGCTTGGCGTGTTGATGAACACCAAGGGGCTAGTGGAGCTCATTGTGCTCAACATCGGCCTGGCAAAGAAGGTGAGCCTTGTGAAATATGTGGATGTGTGCTACGGCTCAAGTGTCTTGGATTTAGAGGGCTTTCACACTCTGCCTCTCAAGCTCACTCAAATTGGCACTTCAGCCAGAACTGTGAGCTTGTTTGGTGATATCATCTGTGCCAGCATCTTGACCAGCACCTCTTCATCCCATGTTTCTGACTTGGGTTCTGTTGCTTCGGTATCAGGTGATTACTCAGGAGATTTACTCCATCATGGTGATCATGGCACTGGTGACGACGTTCATGACGACGCCGCTGGTGATGATGCTGTACAAGCCGGCGCGCAGGAAGCTGCCGCACACCACCAAGGTGGAGCAGCTGGCGCTGGCGAATGGCGAGCTGCGGCTGCTGGTGTGCGTGCACGGCATGAAGAACCTGCCCGCCATGCTCAACCTCACCGAGGTGTCCCGCGGCACGCGCAAGCGCACCCTGCGCGTCTTCCTCATGCACCTGATGGAGCTGTCGGAGCGGTCGTCCGCCATCATGATGGTCACGCGCGTGCGCAAGGACGGGCGGCCGTACTGGTCCAAGGAGAGCGAGCAGGCGGGCCGGGACCAGGTGGTGGTGGCGTTCCAGGCATACTCGCAGCTGAGCCGCGTGAACGTCCAGCCGCTGACAGCCATCTCCAAGTTCGACAACATGCACGAGGATATCTGCATCACCGCCGCCGACAGACGCTCCAACCTCGTCGTCCTGCCCTACCACAAGTTCATGGTAACGTGCCCGAGTCGCTCCAAAATTTCCAACTCCAGTCCTATGTCAGCAAAACCTCACTTTCCTGCAGCCTTGGGACAGCAGATAATATGATTATGGAGACACACATACCCCTTACTCGTGTGCCCATCTCGGTCCTTGTGTGCGTGGCAGACCCCGGACGGGTCAATGGAGGCGGTGCACCCTGGTTTCCAGATGGTGACGCGCCGTGTGCTGCGAGCGGCGCCGTGCTCTGTGGCCATTCTGGTGGACCGCGGCTTTGGCGGCTTCTCGCACCTGTCCCCCACGGCTGTGTCGTACCGCATTGCTGTGTTCTTCTTCGGCGGGCCGGACGACCGCGAGGCGCTGACCGTGGCGCGGCGCATGGAGGAGCACCCAGGCGTGTCGTTCTCCGTAGTGCGCTTCGTGGCCACAGAGGAGGTAGAGCTGGGCTTCGTGGTGGCGCAGCAGGAGCAGCACTCGCTCGTGCACGCCAGTGGGTCGGGGTCGGGCCACGGGCACGCGCACAAGGGGGGCGACAAGACGGTGTCGTTCCTGGTGCCCGTGGACAAGGTGGAGGTGGACCGCGAGAGGGAGCTGGATGACGCCGCCCTCGCGCCCATCATCGACAAGGCTCACCTGGAGCAGGCGCAGGCAGGCAAGGAGGCGGCAGCTGCAGCTGGGGCGAGTCGGGAGGGAGAGGGAGGGGAGGATGGCGCAGGGGTGAGTGGGAGTGTGCGGAAGCAGAAGCTGGTGTATGAGGAGCGGCAGGTGGAGGATCCGGTGGCAGCGCTGACTGCAGCGAGTTTGGACGACTATGACCTCGTGATTGTGGGCAGGGGGCGGCGCTCCACTGCCCTGGTGGCGCAGATAGCAGCGCAGCGCACACCCTTCCGCTCCTACTTCCATGGCCCAGCAGCCATGAACCTGGGCATGTTTGGCCATGGTGGGAGGCACGAGGGCGCACACGAGGCTGGGTCGGAGCTGGGCCCGGTGGGAGACATGCTGGTGGGCGTGGAGGGCCAGGCGTCCATCCTCGTGGTGCAGCAGCACGACCCACACCTCATGAAGAGCCCCTATCAAGTGGCCGATTCGACACTCGCATCTGTGGCAGAGAATGGAAATGGTGGTGGTGCTGTTGACGGTGGCGGTGATCCGGATGAGGCACGCAACAGGGAGGAGTTATGAGGGAAATTTGTTGCACGCGGCGACACTGCAGGGTGGGTTTGGATGAGATGATGAAGTACATCTGACACTTCATGAGTTTGCTTCGGCTTCCTGTTTGACAGCTGATTAATTCAAGCCAAGGTACATCCAATAGCAATTTCTATGATTTGCTTGCTGGCAACATCTAATATGCTTTATACGGTAGGTAGAAGGCTTGTTTTCCTTGCTATCGTGCCATGTCTGTTCCATGCCGTCAACGTACAGTGGCTTTTATTTTCAATCAGGCCCTCAGATTCGTTTTCAAGCACCCCTGATCCATCAGTCCCCCCCCCCCTTCTCTCCCCCCCCCATAAAAGTGTCAAACATAACTTATGCAGTTACTGTAGACTATACATGTTTGTGCCTTAGTGGGTACAACTCTCTAGACTATATTGCCTTGTATCTCCCCACTCTAGTCCATCATTCTTTCTGGTATGGTATCATAGTAGGTTAGGTTCCCCCCTAGGCCCTAGCCACCGTCGTGCCCCGCTCCTAGCCGGCCCTCCTGGCTGTCGCGCTCGTCCCTAGCCGGCCCCCTGGCCGTCGCGTCCGCCCCTAGCCGGCCCCCCTGGCCGTCGCGCCCGTCCCTAGCCAGCCCCCTGGCCGTCGCGCTCGTCCCTAGTCGGCCCCCTGGCCATCGCGCTCCTCCCTAGCCTGCCCCCTGGATGTCGCGCTCGTCCCTAGCCGGCCCCCTGGCCGGCGCGTCCGCCCCTAGCCGCCCCCCTGGCCGTCGCGTCCGCCCCTAGCCGGCCCCCTAGCCCTAGCCGGCCCCCTGGCCGTCGCGCTCGTCCCTAGCCGGCCCCTTGGTCGTCGCGCTCGTCCCTAGTCGGCCCCCTGGCCGTCGCATCCGCCCCTAGCCGGCCCCCTCGCCGTCGCGTCTGCCATTAGACGGCCCCCTGGCCGTCGCGTCCGCCCCTAGCCGGCCCCCTGGCCGTCGCGCCCATCCCTAGCCGGCCCGCTGGCCGTCGCGTCCGCCCCTAGCCGGCCCCTTGGCCGTCGCGCCCGTCCCTAGCCGACCCCCTGGCCGTCGCGCTCGTCCCTAGCCGCCCCCCCCCCCCCTGGCCGTCGCGCCCATTTCTTGCCGTCCCACGGCCGCCCCTAGCCGTCTCACGACCGTCCCCCCGCCGGCGCGGCCGCCCCTAGCCGCTGTCGCTGCGGTCTCTAGCCGCCTCACGGTCACTCCTGCCGTCGCGGCCGTCCCTAGCCGCCGTCGCGGCTGTCCCTGACCGCCGTTGCGGCCGTGTCTCCTCGCCGTCGTGGCCGGCCCTACTCGCCGTCGCGCCAGCTCCTTGCCGGCCCCCGTTGCCGCCGTTTGCTGGCCCCTCGCGTCTGCTGTCAGCCGGCTGGCTCCTGCATTCGCGTCGTCGCCAGCCCGCCGGCGCCTCGGGTTCGGCCCGTTCTTCGCGATCAGCACCGCCCTGCAAACCCCCCCCGGTACCGTACTCAACCGCACTACACCGCACTGTACCACACTGCACTGCACCGTACCGCACTGCACCGCACTGTACCGCATTGCACCATCCTGCACCACACTGCTCTACCCGTGCCGTACTGCACCACACCGTACTACCCTCTATTGTCACTGATGGCGGAGGTGCTTCGCTTTGACGCTGAGGGCCAGCCGATTGAGTTTGATGCGTGGCTTGCTGACCTTCGTCGCCACCTCACTGGTCAGCAGCAGGATGGCCACTCTCTATCTGTCCATCTTGACGGTACCCTCCCCTGCCCTGACCCCCCCCGCTGCACTGTCTCCTGACCCCTCGTCCGCTGAGCGTGAGTCCGCTGCGGCCGCTGCCCTTGCTCGCTCTGTCTGGCTGTCCCGTGATGCTGTCGCACAGCTTGCTACTAGTAATGCCCTCCCCCTGTCTGAGCAACCTTGCTTCAGGTCTATCACCACTACCCAGGCTTTCCTAGATGCTGTTGTCCAGCGCTATTCCACCCCGCCTACAGCCTCGGTAGGTCGCCTGATCCTCCCCATGCTCTTCCCTGACCTTGCGTCGTTCCCCACTGTCGCTGACTTGGCCGCCCACCTACGCACTATAGACGAGACCTGGCGCGCTGCTTGCACTGACACACAGCTTCGCGCTCACCAGCCGCTCCTCTGCTCTGCTCTCTACCTGCTGGCCACCCGCCTTCCTGACCGCCTTGCCACTGCCCGCGACCGCTTCCTTAGCGTCCATCCCGGAGACCTCACCCTCACTGATTTTGTTGACACCCTGTCCGTTATAGAGGCCCGCCACCGCTCTATCGCCCAGACCAGCGGTACTGCGCCGGTCCCTATCTTTCACGGTTGCGCCCCCGCTCAATGCACCTTCTCCGACGGCTCTGCTGCTGTGGCTGAGACTGCTGCTGCAGCACAGGTCCGTCCAGGGAAGGGTCGCCGCCCCAAGGCGGGGCATGGCGGCCGGGGTGGGGGTGCAGGTATAGGTGGTGCGGGAGCTGGGTCCCTTGGTGGTGGTGTGGACGAGGGGACCCTGACAGGTGCAGCCGAGCAGCCGTCTCAGCAGCCGCCGGTGTTGCCGCCGGACCCGTGTCAGCCGCAGCAGCCGCAGTAGTCGCAGCAGCAGCCGAGACGGGCGAGTGGTCTCCCGCCCGGGTGGCCTGGCGCTACTGGTAGCGCAGGACGTGATGGTGGTGCGTGTGGTGGGCTGCCGGGTGGTGGTTCGGGTCCCGCGCGCTGTCAATACCTGCTCCACACTGGTCCTCGCCGTAGCTTCGTTTGCGGTAAGATTGGCCACACCTCCGACCGCTGTTTCCGTCGCCTGGACGGCCTATTTTGTCAGCGCTTCGGCCCGTCGCCCGAGCTCCCAGACTGGCACAGCTTGCTTCGTCGTAGGGTTCAGATTTTTTATCTGGATATGGATGAGATTGTTAGTGCTCTGCATGTGATGTATGCTGATGACTCTAGTGTGCTTCCGTCTTATTACCCCTTGTTGCCTAGTGTAGGCGTGCCTTGCTTAGACTCCCCTGCTGCGTCAGGCGTAGGATCCCCTGCTTTGTTTAGCCATGGTGCTTCAGTCGTTGCTTCGCCTCCGGCCGCCACTGCCGCGCTCTCCTTCACCCTCGACTCTGGCGCTTCCCGGTGCTTCTTCCGCGACTCTACCACGTTGACACCGCTCCCTGTCCGTGCCGCAGTCTCTCTTACTGACCCCTCCTTCGGCCCTGTAGTTGCCCGTAGTTCCACCACCCTCCCCTGCCCGGCAGTTCCTTCGAGCTCACTCACAGGACTGCACATCCCCTCGTTCTCCAGGTTCCTAGTTGGTGTCGGCTGCCTTCAGGTCCATGGCGTCACCACTACGTTCCCTGGACACGAGCGGTACGCTGTCTGTACCGAGGCCGCCACTGGTGTCCCCCTGTCCACGTTCCCACAGGACCCGGTGTCCGGTCTTTTCACACTGGACACGGTGACCCCCACGGCTGGGATCCCCCCTTAGGTGGCTGCGTCTCCTCAGGTTGCTCCTGCCTGCTCTTGTCGGTCTCTCACCCACCCGACCCTCCTTTGCCACCACCACCTAGGTCACCCCTGCACTCCCGCGTCTGTGTCACATGTCACAGTACGGTCTCGTCCTAGGCCTCCCCGGGTCGTTCCTTGAGTTTCCCTCCTCCCCAGCCCAACCCTGCACGCCCTCCGTCGAAGGCGAGCTCGGCCGTGCCCCTCACTCCTCCTCGTTTCCCCCTACCGCAGCACCGCTATAGACTCTGCACATGGACGTCTGGGGCCCCGCCCCCGTCCATGGGCCGTGTCGAGAGCGCTACTTCCTAGTGCTTGTCAACAACTATACGCGCTACACCACTGTGTTCCCCCTGGAGCGGAAGTCCGACGTGCCTGTCGTTCTTATCCCGTGGCTTGTCGCTACGCGTGTCCACCGCGGTCTCCCTGTCTTGCGCCTCCACTCTGATCGTGGTGGCGAGTTTGCCTCTGGTGTCCTTGGTCGTTTCTGTCGTGTGGAGGGCATCACCCAGACGTTCACCTTGCCGGACTCCCCGCAGCAGAATGGGGTAGCTGAGCGACGCATCGGTTTGGTCATGGAGGTGGCTCGCACCTCCATGATCCATGCCGGGGCACCCCATTTTCTGTGGCCGTTCGCCGTTCGCTACGCCGCTTACCAGCTTAACCTGTGGCCGCACCCCTAGCAGCCTCAAGTTTCGCCGACCCTTCTGTGGTCTGGGTCACTTGGTGACGCGTCTGCGTTCCACGTCTGGGGCAGCCTTGCTCACGTTCGTGCCTCTGGCACGGACAAGCTCACTGCCCGCACCCTTCCCTGTGTCTTCCTCGGCTTCCCCCTTGACCCGTCTGACTGGCACTTCTACCACCCGCAGTCTCACCGGTTCTTTCACTCCCGCGACGTCACCTTTGACGAGTCCGTCTCCTTCTTCCGTCGCTTCCCCCACCGCGGTCCCCCGGTTACCCCCCCCCCTGTTCCTGGTCCCCCTTTCCCCGGTCGTCGCCGCCCCTTCTCCTCCCCCTCCCCGTCCTGCCCCCTTTGGTGTGTCTCGTGTCACCCCACTTACATCGGTTGTCCCGGTTGAGGAGGCTGCTGACTCTGGTGGTCCTGAGGCGCAGTCCTCGCCACCTGCCCCTTCTCCGGTGTCTCCTCCTCCGCCACCTCCGCAGCCGCCGTCGCCCCCGCTGTCGCAGCCGCCGTCGTTGCAGCCGCCGCCGCCGCAGCAGTTGCCGCAGCCGTTCGTTGCCTCTGGGGGTGCTGGAGTTGGGGTGGGTACTCGTCCTGGGACTCCTGTCGTGGCTTGTCCCGGCGGGCCTGGGGGTGGTACCGGTGCTCGAGGGGTTCTGGGCTCTGGGGGTGTTCCTTCTGGGGGTGCTGGCGTGGAGTGTTCTGGAGGTAGCCGCCAGGCCGTTTGCGGTCCCGGTGTCGGTGTCATACCGCTGCTGCAGCAGTCCCCGCCGGTGCCCGCTCTTCGTCTGCTCGGCCTTCAGTCCCCCGACACCGTGCCCGTTCCTCCTCCTCCTCCTGTTTACGGCCCTGTGTTCCCTCCTCCGGACTCATCTCCGGCCCGTTTCCCCCCTTGTTCCCCTCCTGTGTCCCCTCCTCTGTCTCCTGACCCGGCTCCTCCGTCTCATGTCTGGTCTCGCCGCCCCTCCCGTGCTCGATCTGTCTCCCTTGTCTCGTGCTCTCACCCTATGTTGCTTCGTTCCCATGCGTCTCGTCCTCCCCCTCTCCCGTCGCCCCCTCCGTCCTCCCTTGTTGTTGCTCCCCCCCCCTCTGTCTGACTACCTGCGTGCCGCTCCT